GTTGCCGTCAGTTGCCGCCACATATTCATTAGTGACAAACGTTTTATAAATTCATCGTGTTAGAAATTTGTTGACAAAAAGAGATAGAAATTTAAAGTGACGTCTTTTATTACTTCGAATGAAAAAAATCGATAATGCAATTTTCTAACCTAAAAAAAATCGTGATGATATGTCAAACAAAATTGAACTTGGCCTTAAGGTCAGTCGCTATTAGTGCCGCTCTTATTTTGACATCTGAGCATGCGTAGATCACTAACTTTAACAAAGATTGTGCCTGTCCTTAAAAGAGAGTTATTGCAAGTTCACTTAGGGTCAGTCACTATTAGTGCCGCTCTTATTTTGACATCTAAGCATGCGCAGATGTTAATGTTCTAAAACTGACTTTATTAAGGATTGTGCCTGTCCTTAATTGTGGATGTTTAAGGGCAGCAGGTAGTGGCGACTTTATAGCTTTCGGATGCGCTCGTCATTTAAACCTTCTAAAATTATAATTTCTAATGCCTCTTTAATATTAGGTACTATTATAGAATTTATTTGACTCTAATTACGATGTCACTATTAGTGGCTGGCTTTATAGAAATTTGCAATATCTCTCTTAAGGATAGGCACAATCTTTATTAAAGTTAGTGATCTGCGCATGCTCAGAGGTCAAAATAAGAGCGGCACTAATAGTGACTGACCTTAAGTGAACTTGCAATAACTCTCTACTGTCAGGTGGCAGTCCAAGCCGTACTTCTTTCTGTATTTTTGGTCTGTTAAAAAGATAATAAAGTTAATCGTTCAAATTCTGAAAGCATCCTTTTATTAAAACTGCAATCGACCTGGTTATTACATATTTTGGCGACGAGGAAACCAATTGTAAACAGATTTTCGGGAAGTAGTCCTGATTACAGTATTTCACATTTTTTTTTTTGTTAAATCATTTCCACTCGAGGTCACGTTGAAACCATTTAATTAATTGAATCCGAAATGGGCACTAATGTGACAGTGGTAAATACTTGAAATGTGGCGAACCTAAGAATATACAATGTTGGAGACGATTGGAAAATATTTAATAAGCAATTAGAGCAATTTTTAGTGGCGAGTAAAGTAGAAGACAGTAAGTGAGGAAGTTTATAAAATTTTAAAGAATGTATGCCACCCGCATAAACCCAGTGAAAAAAGTTTTGATGATTTGATTGAGTTATTGAACAATCAGTTTAAAACACAGGTGTCTGTATACAGAAGTAGAATATATTTCGATCAGCTAAGACAGAGCCTAGAAGATGTTAATGGGTGGTACGTAAAGGTGAGGGTTCGAATTTGGAGCAGTCCTAGATAGCAGGGTGCTGGACAAGTTCGTAGCAGGTATGCGGTCTGGTCCAGTTCTGGATAGATTGTGTGAAGAGAAAACGACTAAATCATTGAGGGAGATGCTGAAGATTGCAAGGGCCAAGGAAGCTGCAATACGAGAGACCCTTCCTGCACATGTGCAGGAATTGAACCTACTGCAGAAAACACCACTGATGACGGATAAACAGGAGTTTAAGGTAGAAAACAAAGGCCAGGTATGTTTTCATTGTGGTTATGACAATCATAATTTTACTAACTGCAAGTATAAAAATTTTGTATGCAAAAAGTACAACAAAAAAGGACACAAAATAAAAGTTTGTCGCAGTAAGTTTGGAAAAAATTTTAGTGTAGAGGTACAAGAAGCTAAAGAGCAAGTCGATTTTTTAACGTAGAAATTTTTAATATCAATGATAACTATTCTGTAGAACCAATTTATATGTATGCTAAGCTAAATAATGAGTCTATAAAGTAAGAGGTAGATACGGGAGCTGGATTGTCATGATTACCATTCGATATATAGGGACAGTTTTCTAAAGTAAAACTAGAGCTAACTAGCATTGTATTAAAGGTGTGTCATGGTTCAGTTGTGACCCAAAGGATCAGATAAAGTTGTCAGTTAACTTTAATGACATTATATTAAAGAAGGGTCTAGGACGTTTCGCCGGCATGAAATTTCTTCTAGTGGGTTAAAGAAAAGTAATGTTTAAATAGAGGCTTAAAAACGTCAAGTCCCAAAAATGTTACGGAGGTCAGAGCATATACGGGGATGGTAAATTATTATTCCAAGGTTATTCCGAATCCTGCTAGAATGTTAAAACCCTTGTATGATCTGACCTGACTGAAAAAAATTAAATTTAATTGGACCGAAGAATGTGAGGAAGCATTTAATGCTGCAAAGAGAGAATTAGTATCCGATAAGATACTAGTACATTTTGACCCACTTAAGCCATTAAGACTGGCCTGCGAAAGTAGCGATTACGGTTTGGGTGCGGTGTTTCTACATGTTATGCCTAATGGAATGGAAAGGCCGGTACGCTACATTTCCAGGATGATGTCAAACGCGGAAAAAACTATAGCATGGTACATAAGGAGGCTTTATGTATTTACTGGGTGGTACTTAAATTTTACGAATATTTGGCAGGTAGAAGGTTCGAGATCTTAACAGACCATAAACAACTATTAACTCTCTTTGGAGAATTTAAAAGCTTACCAAAGATGGCAGCAGCTCGTTTGCGAAGGTGGTGTATATTTTTATCAGGGTTTGACTATACGATTAAATATATTCATGGTGAAGAGAATGTTAAGGCAGTCGCATTGAGTCGATTGCCTGTAAATAGCACTGATAATTTGGAAGAAAATCAAAATGATTATTTTAGCTATATAGAAAACTTAAATTTTCTTGAAAATGTACTTCCAGTTGATACACTAAAATTAAGGGCGGAAACTCGTAGAGACTCTGTTCTGAGAAAAATCGTAAACTTTATAAGGGTAGGGTTTCCCGAAAAATGTATAGACGATCTGTTAAAACCGTTTTTTATTCGGCGATCTGAGTTAACCATGAATCAAGGTAATGTGGTGGTACCGGGTAGTAGTACCTATAAAAATTGGAGATCAGTTACTCAATGAACTACATAGCACACACAAGGGAATTTCTAAAATGAAGGCAAATGCAAGAGCATATTTTGGTGGCCTTCTTTAGATCGTGATATAGGGAAAATGGTTAATAATTGTAGGGCTTGTTATTTATCAAGGCCGGATCCTACTCAGGCAACTGTTATACCTTGTGTAAAAGCGGGAAAGTGTTTTGAAAGAGTTCATGCAGACTTTTTTGGCCCTCTTCAAGGAAACATGAGGCCTTTGTAATGAAAAAAATTAATGGGGTAGCTACAGTTCAAAAATTTCGTGAAACATTTGCCCGTTTTGGTCTACCGAAAGTAATATGTACCGATAATGGGGCTCAATTAACTTCGGAGTTTTCTCAGTATCTATCGAACAACGCTATTAAATATTTAACGTCCCCACCGTATCACTTTGCAACTAATGGCTTTGCAGAAAATGCGTAGCATTATAAAGATGATGAAGAAGAGCACTTGCATGGAAGCAGTTTTACAAAAATATTTATTCCACTATAGGAACTCAGTATATATCACTACAGGTGTGAGCCCTTTTGATTTAGTTTTTAAAGTTAGGGTTAGAAACCATTTTGATTTCCTTTTAGAACAGAAAGTTAACAGTATTAGACCAGCTACTAAGAAAAGAGAGAGAAAAATTTATGGAGGGTCTTAGTAAGAGATTATAGATATCCTAATAAGAAGAAATAGGTTGAGGGTATAATAAATGAGGTATTAGGAGATAGGATTTTTCTTTGTAAAATTTTAGAGGAGAACTTGATTTGGAAACGTCATATTGATCAGATATTAAGAGGAAAATTTAATAATTTAAAAGTAAATTCTGAAGTTGATGAATTTAAAAAGTTTGAGGCGAGTCCTATAATCACCCAATCTGATTCTGTGACGTCTCCTGCAATAAATGTGTACCGTCCCACTGAACCTGATGTATCTAATGTTAAGCTTGATATTATTGATGGTAAAAAGATAGTAAGTGATATTGACAAAACTAATAGTGAGAAGAAAGAAAACAGTGGTTACGGAGCCAGAAGTGCTTCCTAGTGTAAGTGTCGCGTATAATCGGCCTAGAACAGTAAAGGACCCGAGCGCCTCGATCTTTGAGAGGGAGGTATTGTGGTATCACGAGAAATGGACTATGATGTTAAGTCAAAATTAACGTTGGCATTTTTGGATGTCAATGTCAGGTGGCAGTCTACGCCGCATTTCTTTCTGTATTTTTGGTCTGTTAAAAAAATAATAAAGTTAATAGTTCGAATTCTAAAAGCATCCTTTTATTTAATACTCTAATCGACCTGGTTATTACACAAAATGAAACAAATTGTAAATAATAAGTTGCTCTTATCGTCAGAAAATATTATTAAGATATATTTTTTATTTTTGAATAATACAGAGGGTGCAAGGATTTTGATAGTGAGTTTATTTAGGTCAACAACCAAGAGTTTGTATCATATAGACAATATGAGGCAGTTTTGTTTAATTAAAAAGGCAAAACCTAATTTATAAGGGAGGGTGGGGTTTGATTTTGATACATTTGTCGACAACTTTACTAATGGGAGAAGGTAGACCTTAGCTCTATTTATCTAATTAAACTTAATGATTTTTTATTGTCCATTTTCTAAGCATTCGGGAATATATCAGTAATATGAGCACTGTGTGGGACACAACCTCCAACTGATAGATATGACAGATGGAACAAACACTTGATATATTGGAGACTACAAGAGTAGGAAGTAGGAAGACACCAAATGTGATTGGCAGATAACCTTTAGCATGCAACTGCTTGCAAAATAATGAATAAACCTAAAAGCTTTAAGGTAAGGTCTGTTTATAAAATTTAGCATAATAAGGTTCAATAGATATAAAACATCATTAATTTTTGGTTTGGGACAGGACATAATCTTCTGTATTTTTTAGAGTTATAACATTTTTTGCCCAAATAAAGGTGAATATAAAGAGGAGAAAGTAAAATTATTTAAATGCATAAGAAGCAATAACTTCCAGCTAGTACTATATATTTCATGCTTAGTGTACACTTAATACCTGTTCTCGATGTCCCATACTGCAATCAGGTCTTAGTGCTGTAATCGATCTAACATAATTCATGCATTGCACTCGTTTTGTTTTATAAAATTTATCTTTTAGTGGAACAGCTATAGGCATACATGAGGGATGAATGTATCTAGGTGCAAAGGTGAGACCATCTTCGTCACAGCAACCAATGGATTCGTTATAATGAACTAAAATAATAATTAAAGTAACTGAAAATGTTTTGGCATTTAGGAAATGGTTATTTAATAATTTGATTCTATTCTGAAATAATATAAATAATAAATATCAAACTCGATATTGGATGTGAAAAGCATTTCGAAGTTCCATTCAATAATTCTAATACTTACTCATTATTGTTGAAGCAAATCTACTTAAATCCTCTTCTATAAAAATTCCCCACTGAGTAAATGCTGACGTAAGATATTCGTGGGGATTGTTTTCATTATTCACAATGGTGCTGCTAATTTTTCTTGGAAGTGGCATCATTGCTTTAGAGACCGATCGCTTTGGTATTTCAAAGGCATTTATGTAGTGAGGATTTAAAAATCTAAAATATATAAACATTTGCATATGGGATTTTAAATGACCAATATTTGTTTAACCAGTGCTTGTTTTTTGGGCGCTGTCATTTTTAATTTAGGAAAGATCTGGTGCGTCAGAATAATGGCGAGGGGTGTATATCATATTTGAAAGCGGTACATAGGTATCCTTGGTATAATAAATGAGAAGAAAGATCTGATAGGATATAACTTAATTCAAAGGTTTATTTAGCATTCGATAAAATCAACTAGGATAATCCAAAAATATAATCTGCGCATACAAATCCCACTTCTAACCTAACCAAACAAAACAGAAATATAAAAGTAAGCTATTCAAATTATAAACTCACCTAGTATATGCCGTGTAAGACTCTCCTAGATAGGCTTTATCAATATGGTTGCAGGTGCCATCAATAGATCTGTAACTGTTAAGTTCTTCTTCAGGTGAACATTTCTTATCAAGATGATCGCAAATGAAGCCTAAAGACGTGTTATGAAAAGACATTTGCTGCAAATTCTCGTTGCATTCAATTAAATTCATGTGCTCTCTAAAAAAAGCAGAAAATTATTTATCGGTTTTGTATCACAATGTCAGTATGGAAATAAAAAATTTATTTATGCATAGACAATAGGTTATTCCTTTCTAACTATAAAAGAGAAAAGGGAAACTTACTTAAAACAAGTGCTGTACGCTAACTGGCAAGATGCCTTTAAAGCCAATCGAGCTTGCCTTCCTCTGTCTACCGCTGTCTGGTCTGGTTGGAGGTTCAGAAAAGAAGCATGTGCAGGTGTTCCTGGTACTATACGGGTTGGTGATTTAATTGTGTTTTCAAAACGATTCATCAATCCAGTGTACTTTGATGCAAATTCGATTGCATCTTCAATTTCATCGATATTAATTTTAAAAATGTTTTTGCTTTGGTGCTCAATCATTTGAGGACTATCATCTGTGGTAAGCAATTAAAAAAAAAAGAAATATGTAGAACAAACTGTGTTTTTTTTTGTAATAGAAACACATGTTGCATTATTTTTTTGTTAATTCGGAATTAAATAAAGATAAAATTTGCGGTTGGAATGGTTCAAATCATAGCAAAGAATTAAATGTGAAAGATACAAGAATGTTCATGTTTAACATTTCATTACCTTAGACTACTTGGAGTATGTGAAGTGGATTTCTGTTTTTAATTCCCAAATTTTAATTCCAAATGTTTAAAGGGTTTTCTGGCATGGAGAAACTAAACTTACTAATGACGCTTCTGCAGCGAATTTTCCGCTGGCGTCAGATTACTTAATATGGTTTATCCACTTTTCAAAGACATAAGTAGCATAATTTCAAGGTGCGGAATATTACAGGGGTTAAATTGTTATTGACTTAAATTTCTTAAGGGTAGAAATAACGAGCCATAACTCTTATGAATGGGATTTTTGAAATGGTTTAAATTTTCGAGTTATCTAATATTGTTCAATGTACTCGTATTTTCAATGTATCCATGAAAAATTGCATGGTATACTTCTTTTAAAAATAAAATGCCAATGGTTAGAAGTTAGATGATGACGTCTTAAATCGTGTTGTTTCCTGGATGAAATTTCAGAATATGTATATGATTTAGAATGAAAAAAGCAATTGATTAATGGAAGGACCACTCCGGTTTCTAATTTTTAAAGACCTTTGAGGCTCTATACAAAAAATATTCCTAGAAAGTTCCTGCTATAGTTCTTTTGGGACTGATTTTCTTGGTAGGGGTAAGAAATCAGTGGTGTAAATTTTTGTAGAATAGTCTGTATATTAAATTTTATATTACTTGATTGTTTTATTCTTAAAGTAATACCTTTGTTGCACATGGTGGTATTCACAAATGTAAGTTCCAAATGAAATAATGTAAAAATAAATATTTACCTAGTGGTGAAGGCAAAAGCGTAGAAACTTCCACTAGAAAAATTCCAAGTAATATACATAGATGAGGTATATATTTCATTTTGAATATGTAGGTTAGATGTTGATGTATCTAAAAATAAAAAATGAAGCATAAAATGAGTAGTCTTTTGCATATAAACACAGAAAACCTGCATTCAGATTCATGGTACAGGATAAACGCATATTGGCAAACAATTCTTATATCGTTTTTATGTTTTCGTTGACAGTAAAAATATACTACTCATCGCAACAAAGCCAAACAATTAAGTAAGGAGAACTGAATTGAGAAATATAAGTAAAGTCCCCATTTTACAAACAGTCTTTAAGGTGCGTATAGATATGACGGGCCGGCTTGGGGCCCATATTTGGATCGATAAATATTAAACAATAGAAATCAAGTACCATTTTACTCAAAAATTTTATAGTTCAGATAAATTTTTTACCATCTCTATTCTATTCACTACCGTAAAGGCAGAGCCCAACAGCTGAGAACAGCAAAAGTGACTCAGAATTCAGAATAGAATATAATAGTTTTCAACAATGTTGTCACAGGCGAAGAAAATTCTAAAACAAATAAAATTATAATGTAGAATACATAATCTCACTTAAAGTTAAACTCTGTTTGAGATGACACAATAAAAATTTTGTGGTACAGTCTAAATACCATTTAGCACTTAGTGACTGCACATATAGCATCGGAAATTGACATGTATCACCTAAAACTGAGCCTAATTTTAAGTAGGCTTTATACAACCAGCCATAAGTGTATTGTTTTCTGTATCATTTAAGGTCTTCTTAACCTAAGGGAAAAGACAAAATCGATAAGTAGTATAAAAAATGGAACAGGTAAGTGTTAATAATAAAATGTGAACTTGAAGTTTATTGATTTTCAACAAAAATACAAAAGTTCGTGTATCTACGCCTAGGTACTTTTATATTTTACCTAATCTGAATTTTTGACCACCTCGTATTTGTTTTAATTAAATATTATGAAGCAGTAAATAAAAGAAATAGGATAGGAAGGAATAAGTTATTCATTTTGATCAATTATGAATAGTTTTGACAGAATAATTTCAAAATTCAAAAATCTCTATTTTTTAAAAAATCAAGTCTGATAGAAGATCAATAGGAGTAGTTATACAGGGAGAATCTAAAAAGGTAATAAATTCAGGGTGTGCCACAAAACTTTGATACGCCACATTTTTTTGGGACATACTATATAAGTATATATTTTAAAAAGGTGGCTTTCCTCATCATATATACTTAAATAATAGGAGCCATTTTAAAACGTTATCGACTCGCTATAAACGTCAGACGCGTGGTAAATTATCTTGTATAATGTGTTATTGTTATTGACAAATTAAACTGAAACTGAAATAGTAGTTTGTTCAACAAGATTGGATATGGAGTTGTACAGTATATTTTTTTCTACGACTCACCAACGAAAATCTATAATATTTTAGGTTATTAAGCAAAAATAACTAATTTTAAAATAATTTATGGTTTTTAATAATTTATAAAATAAAATTAACAAAAGAAAATTAGTCCCTTGTCCAGATTTGAACCTGGGCTATTCGCATGGAAGGCAGATGCTCTGTCCTCAGCTCCACCGCCACCTTTATGATTTTGGGTTTAATACTCGTAATTAAACTAGTTTCATATAGTTTAATTTAATTTATTTTTTTTTTTAAATTGTGGCCCAAATAAAAATAAAAATGTTATTATTTATCGATTCTAAAAAAAAATATTTAGTGTATATTTAATCTCAATAACTAAAAAATATACTGACAATTAGTTATAATAGTAGTCTAGTAATAATTATCCTAAAAATATTCTTTATAAAAACTTAGTTATTTTATAAAACTAGAAAAATATATTGAGCAAGTTTATCATCATAAGTTTTTAAAAGTAACCATTGTAAAATGACAGAATTTGGTTTTCAAACTAAAATATTAATTCTACCTTGTTTATACAGAGTTTTCAACAATACTGGTATTACACGTGATCTGTCGTTATCGTTAATACTGTCAGAAATGTCACTGGCGTTCATTTATTACTTGTAAACACGTTTGTATTCAGTTTTTTATCAAATAATATTAAACTAATCAGTTCTTTTTAGAGCTCTTTAGTGCCCTAATTTTTTTCTGTCGGGTAAGTGAAAATGTATTTAGATTTATAAAAGTCTATTGACAATATTATATATCTTTTAATTAAAAATGTTTACATAGGAACAAGATTCTTTTATTTTAAGGGCCCATTTTAGAATTATTGGAACTCAAAATGCTGATGAAGCAGTTCAAAGAGGTAAAAAGAGTGTTTGGGAGTCTGGCCTTCCTATAAGCTAATTTCATTGTTTTAGGTTTGTCGATAGAACCTACCCAGCTAGCACAAAAACATTCCATCTACGTTAATAAGCTGCAATTTTATGCTCTTTAAGCTCGCATGTGATGTACTTTTAATGTAACCCTATTATCCCTGCAACCGCCGAATGTCCGCAACGGCAAGACTTTTATAGCAAATCTCACAGAGGTTACAAAGTGAAGTTCGGAAAACATCACACTAGCACTTTTATGGTACTTACCCCGAAAGTAGCTATGAACCGTTCTATAGATGTTATAATGTTAATTAGCTCTACAGCATTATACAGTGTGTCCACGGACGGACTTGTGAAAATATTTATTTTAAATTGGAAAAGTAATTCTTCATAATTTATTTTGCTTGTTAAATAAATTCGATTCACATAGAGAAATTATGAAAAATAACTTTTTTTTAATTTAAAATAAATATTTTTACAAGTATAATTAAGTCCATCCACGGACACATTATATTGTTCTTTGTGTAATGTAATACAGAGATGCTGAAATTGAGGTATAGTAAAAACTCAACCGAGACATGGAAATTTCAAATAAAACAAAATATTTATATAAACTTATTATTAAAATGTTCTTGAAATCAAGTAGTAATATCACAAAAGTAGAGGTAGGTATATCACAAACGCAGTTACACATGTGCGATAAGTAGTAGAAGCCACCTATAAAGCACTGAACGATTTGTCAAAATTAGCGTAATAGTATAATAAGGTATCAATATCGCTAGAAGCTTAAACAGTGAACGATTGTACAAAAGTATATTTATATAAGGTACGTATCAAGATGGCAATTGTATGATGCTAAAAAAACTAGATCTGTGAATACAGTTCATCAAATTTCTAGAGGCTTTCGACGGCTAGACAGAGAAAGCACTACTGACAGGCATCCCGACGGATTTACGCAATGAAAGTACACTCTGCGCATCAAGTATTTCACTATTTCATTCAGACGTAAATGTCAGATGTAAATTTCGCTAAAACATTTCTTTTATTTTCGTTTGTGTTTTTTGCTCATTACAGTTTAATAGAACCTAAGTATGGAGTTTAATAGCAAATTAAGAGGCCGCGTGATTAACAGTCAATCTCGCGAAATAATAGCCAATGTTATAGAGTTTATGAGAAGAGAAGGAAACTTTAATTCACCTTCAATACCATTTAAAAATGTAAATGATCGTGTTGCTGCAGCCACAGGAGTATCTAAAAACACTGTCGTCCGCATTTCTGGAGAGAAAAAAAGAATCGATAACCGTGAGATATCGGAATTTTCATCACCAAGAAAAACCATTAAAAAACCAAAAACAGTTAATGATATAGATGAAGCTGCACAAGAATCAAATCTTATTTTTTTATTATTAGATAGCTATTTTTGTTTCTGAGTTGTGTGCATTTACAGGCTCAATTTTTTTCCGTTTCTCCTTTTTGATTTTATATGGGGTTTCAAGTTGTTTTTGACTTATTTCGACGTAAATCACAACAACACACTTTTTTAATAAAGCAAACAAGTGCTAAGAGGTATATGTACGTGTAAACTACAATTACAAAAAATTGATATGAAACCCATGAAACCACCAACAAAAATGTAAAGCTAGCTTCCGTACTAGAACATGGTGTCATTCGTCGAGATAATTTATCGTTTTGTTTAATAGATCAAGAAATGTAAATATTCCCCTGTTATTTTTTATAAAATTATAAGAGAAATAAATTTTTTTCTAAATAGTATAGTTTATTATTTTGTAGAAAAACAAAATTTTGAAAATTTTAGTAATGTTTCAGAAACAACCGTTATTAATAATAGGTACCATTTTCCTTAATAAGGTAGAAATAAAATATAAACTATTTCCACGATTTACAAAGGCCTACAAAAAAATTATAGGTATTTTCCGCTATCCTATAAAATTTATATTTTCTGACTCAATTTCAAAAGGTTGAAGGAATTCCAAAACACCTTTTATGGCATAATAATTATTTTCAATTCTACATACTATCTTCAGCTGCTTTTAAAAACGTTCTAAGAAAGTCCAATCAGACCAATTTAATCCCTAAACTATTCCACACTTTTAAAATTTAATTACCTAAAAATATTAAAAACTATTTAAAATAACTTGTTTAGCAGACTGTACAATAGCTATCTTAGTCACACGTAGCGCGTTCTCTGTCTGGGCGTCGAATACCTCTAGAAATTTGATGAACTGTAATAGATGATTGCAACAATGACTAGCTATATATTATACGAGATAGCTGCGTTCCCAGATTGCTTACCTGTACTCGCAGAGATATATCATCTTTTTAAAATCAAACCTTTTAACTTTTTTTTGTATAGATATTTATATATTTTTATTTTGTTAGTTTATTATTTATGCAAAGGTGAACATAAATTATTTTATTGTAACTACATGTGAGGTTTCCCCACCCGACCATTTACTGTTGGGTTCTAATTAACAGTGCTGTTCCTAAAATGGCGCTGGGAAACAGTAACAAAGCCTACACAGAACACGAGACTAATGGCCTTAGCAGTCGATGCCGATGACACAAAGAAAAACTACATGTGGCTTAGAAATATTTTTATTTACGCTATAATGTAATATAAATATTTGACAATTTATTAGAAGAGGATAAACTATATGTTTATATAAAATGATTTTACTTTTCCACAACATATTAAATAAAAAAGAGATTGACCTACTTGTTTAACTACTATTAAAGGAAATTATATAGAAATTAAA